GCAGCCACACGCAGCGCAGGAGGTGGGAGCAGAATTCTGCGGCGACGCTGGAACAGGAACGCCTTCGGGTCCAACCTGCCCTGGACCCCAGTCCTCACCTCAGCTTCCGCTGCTTGGTCCGCTCCCCAGGCCTCTCTCCAGAGCCCCGCGCAGCACCGCACAAGAGACGTCCGGCCTTACCTCACACAACCCCCACCCCGGAGCAGGCTGCGGGCAAGAAAGAGGGTGGGAGCAGCGCTGTGACCTAGCCTGCACCCGCAGGCCCGGCCCGGCCCGGCCCCTCCGCAAGGCCGCACGGGAGGAGCCCCGCCTCCCGCGGGGGCCTGGCACTATCTTGCGGAGCGGTTGGGAGGTTTCTCTGGGATGCCCTGGCACGGGGCCCGAGGCGGCGTGGGTCTCTTAGGTTTCCCAGCGGCCAAGCCGCACTGGAGCCGGGCGCCCCGGGGAGAAGGCCCCTATGCGCCTGGTGACCGTGGAGGAGAACATTTACGTGCATGGTTTTACTCATCCTAATGTTTTGGTTGGTTCTCCTTTAACATATTTTAGGTTTAATTATTTGGCTATCCTACCAAAAATCTGTGCAGTGCAGAGGTTGTCAGGAGTGCAGTAAGGATGCTCCATGTTCTTAAGTAGTGTACTTGAATAGCAAATAGACTGTAGATTAAAGCAAGCCCAGTAAGGGGATCAGAGGAATGCTGACATGCAGGTCTGTGATGTACTTCTCCAAAATAATGAGGGAATTTTGAAATCCTAACAGTCATGTTTGGAAACAATAGGAAGCTTCTGAGGATGAAGGAACCCAAAGGGATGAGTCACACATATCCCAGGCTGGACGTGGTTCAGTGTTTTCTCAGTGCTATGGTAAACCATGGAACGTATTCCAACCCCTCTTTGCTGGTGCATGAATCATAAATAGAAAGCGTGATTATTAATTACTGTTTTATGGCTTTAGACTAGGGGAGATATGTAACCACCATCCTCCATTAACACATTTGAGAAATATGTAGGCAGATTTACTTTCACAAGCAAAATAACATTTGTTTGGAACAGATTAATTACAGTCTGCATAATAAGGCCTTTGTTCAAAGTTACAGTATTATTCACGTGTAAAACCTGTTACTTATGTTTACACATTGACACGGTAAGAAAGATGAGATGAAACTAATATCTGCCTGCCTTTCTGTGGAAAAATGAAAATGTCGTGCTGGATGGAATGAGTGATCCATCTGCTGTTGTTTCTGACAGTGTCTGAGAGGTATCAAAAGTTCCAGAATTGTTGTTGAAGAGCTGAAAATAGTGACCCTTTCCAGATCCTTGTATTCAGTACTGCTCCTCCTCCTGCTGCTGAGGGCATCCCTGCTCCATCTGGCACTGCAGTCATTGGCACTGCCCATGGAGAGTAAGTAGACATGGGCACCAACTTGTTTTTTTGAGCCTCAGATTTTGTCTTTGTCTACAAACTACGGATGAAAAGAGTGGGCTGTACTGCACATGCAGTCTATCTTGGAAAGTCTTGTGCTTCAGTGTTAATCTTGTTGTGAAGACCAATAGGGATTTACACTCTGGAGCTGCCAAACTAACACTCTGCACTTTGGTGAAAACTAAGCCCACACACAAGTTTTCTATTAAGGTGGTTTTACAGAGACATCCAAAGCTACTCTAAAATACCGTAGGCTCATGTAGTATTAGGACAAGGAAGCCATATTTTTCTGTCATGGTATCATTACAAAGTAGTGAATGCTAATGGAGGCTATTATTAAGGAGAATGATTTTGAGGCGTAGGAGAAAGATAGACAATGGAGAGCTACATTGACTAATTATCTCCTTAAGACCTACCATTTAATATTTAAGTACCTACTGGAAACAAAACAGTTAAAAAAATCAATAATTTTAAATTAAACATTATGTGGGATGCAGATACTGACACCTATAGTGAGAAAGCCGATTTCTACTTTCAGGCTTTTCAACATTTTTATGTTAAGATTAGAAAATGTTCTGTTCATAAGAAGTTCATTACTTCAGTAATGTAAACAATTGTTGTTGCAACCTGTTTGAAGAATAAAACCATTAATAACAAGACTGCTTTCCCAAATAATCATTTGTGAAACAAATATGCATTCATCTTTCATCAATAGTTGGCAGATAGGCCATCTTGATACAACCCAGAATACTGGGGATTATTGACAAGCATATGTAAATACCAAACTTTGTAAGATGTAAAGTGGTGCCAAGGCTTCATTTAATAGTTACTGCTTGGAATTTAGTATTTCTTCTGTGTTCTGACATTTGGTTTTATGAAAAGAAATGTTTAGGAACTTTGGTCAGTTTTAGCTGCCACTGATAGTCTTCACTGGACTTGCAACATAAGAGACTGTTTATTAGGAGTAAGGCAGAAAGAATTTACCTTATAATTCATAATGAAAGGATAAGAAATTGCTAGAATGAATATCTGCATAGAGGCTATGGAAGCTGTTGGGTTCTTTGACTTTTCCTGAAGTGTGGCAACATCCTCACTCAGATATGAGATCTACTGTTCTAGAACATTTGAGAAGTTTCTTTTAAATTTTTCATTAAAATAACATTTTCCTCAAAAAGTTCTAAACAAATGTAGATGTATCTTAGACTTTATATCTTTATATACTGAAATGTGTTGCCTGAAAAAAAAAACCAAAACTCAACCCAACCCAAAATGAGGTTGGCATGATTCATCTTTTTTAAAGATCTTACAGGAAACACTTCAGAATATATTTTTCCAGCTTCGAGCAGTTTGTATTTAGATTGGGATTTAAGAGTCAAGACAGAGACTTTCAGATTTTGTCTCGCTAACACAGTGTGTTTTGCTTTGATTATTCCCACTGCACAAATACAACAAACAAGTCTAGCTAGACTTTATTCTTAATTGTGTGTTAGTAAGACATTTACAATACAGTGAGCAGATGCACAAATTTTGGAATGTACAGAATATTCCTATGTCCCAATTTGAAGTCAATAGACTTGGTCCATGCATGATTTTGAAAGTTTAAATTTGATTTAAATTGTGTTAAGTGGCTGTAGCAATGCCACAACAGCTTTTTTTTTTTTTTTTTCCTTAATAATGCAGTGTTAATTTTATAGAATCTTTTTAAAGCTACATTGTTTCTCATAAAAACCACTTTTTTTCTTTCTGTGGTAACATGCTAGTCATATTTACATTGATATACAAACAGTAAAAATAATTTTGGTTTATCTTTTGCAATGAGTTTGATTTCCATGAAGGTAGATTTGGGAATTATGTACATTTAAAATAAAAACATTTCCTTCAAACATGAGACAGTTTGGGATGGTACATTGTGTGCTGCATAGGAAGTTGGACTGTTACGATGCTTTGCTGCCCTCTAGGTGATGCATATTTAGCTAAGTAATATTGTGGCATTTTGCAGAGCTCAAAGGGTTATCTGTAAACTGGATTTTAAATATTCTAAGATATTTGAGAGCAGGAAGCCACTGTTACTGAAATGCTCAAATTAATTTTACAAATTATAAAGTATTTTCTAAGTGTACTGATTTTTTTTTCCTTTGCTTTGCAATTGCTATCAAGAATTTTGTCAAGTGGATTTTGTCTTTCCATGATTTTTTGACAAATAAACATAATATAACTGTAATACCAGCCATTATGTTTCTGCATTTGTCATAGAATCATAGAATGGTTTGGGTTGAAAGAGACTTCAAAGATCGTCTTGTTCCAATCCCCTGCCATGGTCAGGGACACCTTCTACTAGACCAGGTTGCTCAAAGCCCATTCAACCTGGCCTTGAACACTGCCAGGGATGGGGAAGCCACAACTTCACTGAGCAACCTGTTTCTGATAGGGTTTTGAAAAACTGTCTTACTTAAAGAGTGCAGTGTTGTGGGTTTACATTAAAGCAACTTTGTACTGAAATCTTTCCAGATTTCAGGACTTCAGAATGCAGTGCTCTGTCCTGTGGGCGGCTATAGAAGCGGATCAGACATCTCTCAGTATCTCTTGTGGAGTTATTAGAAGCAGGCGGCACGAACGACACCTGACTCTTCAGGGTTGAGTCTTTCGGGCATCACTGGAGGATCAGCGCCACCTACCGCGTGTTTCTGGAAATCAGCTTCCAGTAGCGTCTTATTCTGCCCAGGAGCTGTACTTGATCACTCTAAACAGTTGTAGCTTCTGAAAGTCTTTACCATACATGTGAGTTCTCCCAAGAAAAACCATAGAAAGTTCAGCTTGGGGAAAAGAAGATAAAAAAAAAAAAAAAAAAGAAAAAAAGTCTGAAGGCAACATGTAGTTCTGCTGAGAGAGTTGGGCTTGAGAAGGCTCAGGGAACACCTTATTACAGTCTTCAGTACCTAAAGGGGGTCTACAAGAAAGCTGAAGAGGGACTTTTAAACAGGATATGTAGTAATAGGGCAAGGTGGAATGGCTTTAAACTGACAGAGGGAAGACTGAGATTAGACATTAGGAAGAAGTTCTGTACTGTGAGGGTGGTGAGGCATTGGCACAGGTTGCCCAGAGAATCTGTGGCTGTCCCATCCCCGGCAGTGTTCAAGGCCAGGTTGGAAGGGACTTTGAGCAACCTGATCTAGTGGGAGGTGTCCCTGCCCATGGCAGCGGGTTGGAACAAGATGATCTTTAAGGTCTCATCCAACCCTATGAAACTCAGCATTACAACTAAGCTCTGTACCTTTTTTTTTAAGGCACAATAGCGTTAAAGCAGTGTACATCAACGACAGCACCCTACGCATCTAACATAACCAACATGCTTATTATAAAACAAGGACTCGAGAAGCCCTTTTAAATACTACTCAACGCCACTGCCCTTGCGCTCGACGAAGCGTAGAGACCTCGCCAGCAGCCTACCGCCCATCAAAGAACAAGTACAACATTCCCCTAACTGCTGAGGGGAGGCTGTTCACTTCTTAAACCCATTTCGGTGCCCTTCCCCACCAACTTATAGGAAGGGAGGGGCCAAGCGGCAGCTCCTGGGGCGACCGGCTCGGCTGTTCAGCCGTTAACGCTTTAAACTTCCCGCCTGCCACTCGCGGCACCGGTGGCCGTGTTGCTTGTCGGCCGCCGCAGTTTCCCGGCGCTGCGGACGCAGAAGCAGTCGGTGGCTATGGCTGCGCGGCGTTCTCTTCGGGACCGACGCTGAGGGTTGCGGCCAGCCCGTCGCGCCTCGTTTCTTCGGGCCCGCCGTTGGGTCGGTGCCGCGGCCGGGAGCGGAGGCGAATCTGCTGCGCCTGTGCTCCCGTTAGCGCGGTTTGGGCGGTTGTCAGGGAGAAACAAGATGGCGGCCGCGGCAACGGAGGAGGACACGGAGCTGCGGGACCTGCTGGTGCAGACTCTGGAGAGCAGCGGCGTGCTCAATAAGATCAAGGTGGGGGAAGGAGAGCATCTTGCCAGCGTACATGTCGCTCAGTGGGGAGGGGGGGAGCCCTGGGTGGTGCTGGAGGCGGTTAACGGCCCCATGGGGGTTCCTTATGGGGCTCTGAGGCTTCCACTGGTTTCGTCCCCTCCCGCTGCCGTTTGCAGCTGCTGTTGCCGGCTGGGCCCTGTCTCGGCGTCGCGGCCTGGCGGTGCCGCCTGCTTTTCCGGGCCTGGGGCTTGGCGGAGCCGCGTCTAGCGCCTGCCTCACGTGCTGGAGTTGGTACACGCGGGACGCGGAGGCGAAGGCCCGAAGCCTGGCCGCCGCATGAGGTCTGCCCGCGGCCCCAGGACTCGCACGTTCACCCGGGCGGGGACAGGAAAAGCAGCTCTAGGCCGCCGCAGGCAGTCCTGCGCCCGGCGTTGTGGTTTCGCCTCGTAGTACCGTGTGTCCGTAGGAGCTCGCTTGCTGCCAAACCTGCTGGAAGAGTTCGACCTCCGGGAGGTGTGGGACACGGTGGGTAGAGTTTCTCCCTGTTTCAGTACGAAAAGCCCCTATTGAAAATTCCAGGCAGGAGTTCTTGAGGGTTGCTGTTTAAACGTTGTTCTTGTGCGTGGGTTGCTTGAGCTGTGTCTTGGAGGCTGAATCTGGAAACTCTAGGGCGATGCTGCCTGCCTACAGGGAACAAATAATGCCATGTCAAAAAAAGTCTATGTAAAATAGCGTTATGGTAGAGCATACGTGTTTTCCAAGACTGGTGTAGCCTGAGTTTGTGAGAGAAAGTATGTGAAAATTGGTTCCATGTATTCTTGTTCAAGTTAGAAAGAAGCCTTTAGCAATAATTACTGTATATAGCAAAGAGCCGTACAGATACAGAAGCTTAAGAAGTGCTGCATTCCCTTCCAAGCTAAAGGAGAAATGAAGTTTGGTTTTCAGGTCAAGGATGGTGGTATTTATCCACAGTGTAATATTTTAAGCCTTGAAGAAGTGAGCCATCACTGCTGATATTTGAGGAACAGCTCAACAGCTGAAATGGGTAGTGGAAGTGAGAGCATCTCTGCATGTATAATTTGATTTGTACCACTGGATTTTGGGTTGGTTGTCATACCTTTCAGGAAAGAATTAAAAATGTATCATTCTTGCATTTCAAATGGATAATCCTTGTTTAAACTCTGTAGGTAGATGAAGATTCTATTGCATGTAACTATGTTTTGAGTAGGGAGACTTTTTTTCTAGCTGAATATCAAATAGGCCTTTTGGGCACCTCTTAATCTCTCACATAGTATGAACTAATACAAATATGGGGATAATACAATGCTAATTAAAAAAAAAAAAATCACAAGCCAATTGGATCATATTGACCACATGAGCTGTAGTTTTTTAATTCTTATCTTTGTGTTGTATGCAAGCTTTTGTACTGTGGTTCCTAGTTTGAGTTTTGTGTAAATATATCTATCATAGTCTTCACTATTCTGTAATGCTGAAAGTATGTAGAATCCAGTATGGTGTAAGGTATCCTTAAGGCAAGCTAGCAATTGACTTGGAAAAGTACAAACTGCATCCTATTTACCAGATTATATCTCTTACATGGCTGCACCACTTTCAGCTTCTCTGGTTCCTATGCTCCAAAATGACTGTCGTATACCTCAGTAGATACAGAGCAAGACTGGCAGAGCATTAAAGAGTTTAACCACTGGTGACCACCCTAGGCCATCTCTTCTTTAATCCTTGAAGTTACTGTTTAATAATTGGTGTGCTTATGGTTAAGGCTGTTCATTTGAGGATTTCATGGTGTTTTTTCTAAGCAGTAAACCTTAATTGGCACGTGAGTTTGACTCTTGCTTGACAGAATTTGTTCTGCTAGTACCTTGCAAAAAGTCCATTGTCTTCCAAAAGAATTAAGGTTGAACAAGTCTTCTTAAACTGTCATCTTTTAATTGAAATTACATACCATGCATTAAAAACAAACAGAATTGTAATCCTTACATCCATTAAAATAAATGAAATGCAGTTGTGATCAACAGCATTTCTCTATTGTGATAGAGCTGAATGATGTTTACATGTTATCAAAACAGTTGTTTATCTTGTACTTCAGAATGAGTACTGACCATTTTATTTCAAGATGGATAAGGTTAGAAAGCTAACCTCAAAGTTGTGCAGGTGTATAAAATATATAATCTGGTAATAATAAATTATAATAATGTATTTGAGATTTATTGAAGTGGATATATTAAAGAGGCAAATATATGGTCCATATATAACTGAATTGGTATGGAGCACTATAGGTAAAGACAGCTGGAAAGGATTAGAATTCAAAAGGAATTATTTCAGTGAATAGAATGTATCAAACTGTCAGCTAACACATTTTGTAACATAATGACTGATTTTTAGAAAGAAACTTAAGGGTGATGACTTTGTTTTCTAATACAACCTGATTTTACAATGGGTTGCAGTTTGTAAGTTTCTTCTCAATTTGAGATAAGTTTTTCTGTTTACCTTAGACACTAAGCACTGGAATAGTTAATGAAGTCATATTGTGAAAACTAGAAGATTTGTAATGTTTGACACTTGCAGTTGAGAATTTCCTGTCTTCTCTGAGCTGCAGCGTGTGTAGATATTTGTAATCTGTTTATCACTGGAATTAATCTGATGGATAAGACTGCTTCCAATGAATTTTGTAAACATGCAGAATAGAACTGTGGATACTTGTACTTTAGTGAAAATTATCATTGATGCTGTGTGATCCATGCTGTTAGAAATAGAAATGCTCTTCTGTTTTGAGGAGAATATGGTCTTTCTCTTTGCTGGGGAAGCTGTTTTCATAAGAGGAAGAATCATGATGCTACTCGCTGTGTTCCTTTGTTACCTTATTTTGCTTTGGTGGTTAGGGCTTAAGCAGGGAGGGAGGAGCACACTGCTACATGCTCAAGGATGAGAACCTTACTGACTGCAGAAGAAGAGTGACAGGGAGGGTACTAAATAACACAGGTAGCAAAGTGCTGTTCACACTTTGTCACAAACTTTGGATTGTAATATATATAAACTGGTATGGGCTTTTAGCCTGATGCACAGGTTTTGGCCTGGGGTGGTCACCAGTGGTTAAACTCCTTAAAGCTCTGCCAGTCTTGCTCTTTATCCACTGAGGTACATGACAGTCATTTTAGAGTATAGGAAGTAGAGGTGCTGAAAATTGTGCAGGACTGTCTCCATGTGCTGGTAAATTTTACATATACAAGAGATATTTGCTTGTATATGCACAGGGTTCTTTCATAGCACTGGAGCACATGGCAGTTATATGTGCCTGTGCTTTGCCTAGAATATCTGTAAACAGTTTATCTCAGCAGTGATACATTTTTTTACCCTCCAAAATTTTACACATTACCTTAATTGTTTCACTGCTCTACATGTATATTTAACCACACTGCTGCATGTGTTAGTAACAATTTGTGAATGAAAGCTTGCAGGTGAGTTTTGGACCTCCAGCTAGGCCCCTTGCAGGTCTCTGAAGTGAGTGTCTCCCTCATTAACACTTGCTGAGCTTGTCTACCACTAATTTCTTGGTGAATGCAGAAAGTTGCGTGCATGTAGCTTCAAAAACTATGCGTTCAGCTGCTTAAGAAGGGTGGCAGTATGTGCATTTGGGAAGTTGAAATTTATGTTCTGTTTTCTGCTCGTGGGTCTTTGAGGGGGGGTGGGGGTGGGGATTCCAGGGTGTCCTCTGGAAAAGCTACAGGACTCCACAGATTTGTAGAAATGATGTTGAGAGATGCATGAAATGAACAGCAAGGCTTTGTCAACTAGCACACAATGTTACGCTCAACTGTGTGTGTCCAAAGCATTTAATGAAATTAAAGCGACCCACTTTTTTCTCTAGTATTCCGTAGCATATTGAGATAAGTGTTGTGAAGCTATTGCTTTTTCATCTAAGGTACTGCTTCAGGAATAGAACATATGAGTAAAGTGTGATAGGAAAAATTTTGCTGAGATTTTTTTGGAAGGTATTGGGATATTGGGGATGTTTGCAAGTGAATTGTATAGCTATGCAAAGGAAACCAGTGGGCAAGGATAAGCCCTATCCACAGTTTGTGCTTAGTGCCCGTTAGGTCATCTTGGTTACTGATGTGTTTATATGCTCTGGGGCACAGAAATCAGTTCCCAAAGTCCCCATGTGTTTTCGTATTGGAAAACACTGTCTCAAGTTTTGTACTAGGACAGTAAGCTGTCTTGTTTAAGTGCTGGACACGTGTGTTCTAGCACAATAAAAGACAAATGCCTTAATAAAGAGAACTCAAGGGACATGCTACCTGCCAAGGTATGAAGGTGAACCTGCTATTCTGGGGAATGGCAACATCTGGGAGAAATTGACACCATGTCATTAAATAATGAGAAGTGGAAGAAAAGCACCTCAATCAGTATTTAAAAGCTGCTGGGTTGGACTTAGAGGAGTGGAGCAGGCAAATAATCACAGTTATGTGAAAAGCAGTGATAACTGTGGTATTGTTCTGCTATCTCAGTCAGACACTGGATTGGCTGATGTAATGGCAACCACTTTCAGACAGCTTTGTTCTATGGTCTTGTGATCCAGACCCTTAAGGGGGTTTACCTCTACCCACATGTCATGGCTGGTGTCTTTTATTTTGAACAGTTGTAATAGCCAGTCTGTTTCACAAATGCTTTGTTGTGATTCTTGTCCTTTTATGTAAGTATACTTGGTTTCAGTTGCATCAGTGGAAAGGAGTGATCATTGCAATCATCTGAAACTTTTCATACTGACATAAGACCAAATAATCAAGTTGTTAGCTATTGGTTGGAAAGCTACATGTAAACTGATTTGGTAAGATAACATTTAAATTAATGGGTTGTAAGAGGATTTGCTGGTGGAATACTGTACCCCAGCACATGAAAAAATTTAACAGTCTCTGTATGACCATTGTATACAATTGTGGTAAGCGTTTTACACTTATGATGAAAGAAAGTTAAAAAGATTTCCTATTACTTTGTGTTCTTTGAAAGGGTTCCAAAGATGGTTCTGCTTAAAAAGGAAGCATTTATCTTATTTTTCCCATGGAAGGACTTTTTAAAATTTATTTTGGGGAGGAAACAGCCACAGGGTAATCTGTGTTTAGTTACCTTGTATAATATATGTGAGAAAATCCAGACACTTGTCATACTGTTCTTATTCTTAGTTATGGAAATTAATCTTTCTTTAAAAGCTTGCTTTCTTTGCTCTTGAGTAACCTGTCAGAGAATAACACTGCCATTTATATTTCATCATGTCAGTGTTCTCTACTGGCTACTTCAAAATGTCAGATTAAGAGTTGACTTAAGTGGCAAACTGCTTCATCAAATATAATGTGTGTTGTCCGTTTGATATGTTCAAAGGAAGAAGTAGAGAAACTGTAGTGTTTTAAAAAAAAAAATATTCAAAAACCAGGCTGGGTTTTGGCTTAGGCTTAAACTTAAACATTCAAAATAGTACTCAGAAGGATTCTAGGATTCTGATGCTTAAGTTATTAAAAATCAGCTAGGTAAAACCTCACTATAGGAGTATTTGACTGGAATCATGCTGTCTTTTCCTTGTCGTTTTCTTTGAGAAATTCGGTTTCTTTGGGTGTGATCTGACAAGAAATTGCAGGGTATATTTTAACATTAACTTTAAAAAATATATTATCATAAGCTATTTGTTCATGTTTCCTGAACGAATTGTAAATGAAAGGTAGGTGTTTCATAGCTGCCTGAAAGAGCTGGATTTTTAACTCTCAGAAAAAACTAATAGGAGATAATGTAGCTAATTTGGATTTTTTTTTTTTGTATGAAGAAATAATTTAGGAAATCTTGCATCAAACTCTCCTTCCACTAACCCCTTGTTGTTCTCAGACTGAAAACTTCTTTCCAGCCTCAGGTCACGCTGTCTGTAATGGTAAGTGTTTTAATTGCTCTGATGTAGATTACAAGCAATGCCAAGTTGCTTGAGGAGAAACAAATAGCTGTTAAGCTACCTGCTGGCTTTTTGTATTCTATTTACATAGGAAAAACAGTGCTTGTACAAATGCAGTTTATTTTGTTTCTTATTTGGCAGGCAGAGTTGCGAGCAGCGGTTTTTTTGGCACTGGAAGAACAAGAGAAAGTAGAGGTAAGAGGGCCTTAAAAATAAATTAAAACCCCAGCACCCTGACAGTTCTTCATATAAAATTAAATACAATAGCATTAATACTTTATTTGTGAAATTAACATGAGAAAATTATTGCTGCAAAAGAGTATGATGCTTAAAGAACACGTAACAGGACTGTCAAGAGTGTTTTCTGATGTTTAGAAATAGGAATTGTTATATAGCCCTTTGAAACTGTAGCTTTAAGTTACTGTCTCTACTGTCTTTATGTTATTTCAGTCCAGTTGACCAGAATAACTAAATATTTTTTTCTATCAAATACTTTTTATAAAAGATACCTTGTTGACTGATCAAGATCTGATAAAACCAGATTATAGTCTTTTAAAATTTAAAATATTATAGTGTAGGCTTTTTTTGTTTGGTTGGTTTTTTTAACAAGTGTATTGTGAAAGCAGTTTAATGCAGTAAGTTCCCAAGTATGGTAATGTTTTTGGTATTTCTCGTAAGGATGTTGTAGGCTTACTTCAGGATAATTTGCTTATATTTAAGGAAGAATTTTGAATGAAGAGAAGGGCTATGTACAGATACCTTGACAATATAATAATATTATGGGTATGCTATACTGGCATGATTAAGTAACAATACTGCTGAGGTATGCAGACACAAGTTTTGTGACCCCTTTACTTCTAGCATTTCCATGGTTTTTGTGTCTTTCCATTCTCTAGAGCTAGAGAAGAGACGGCATTTTATGCCCATTCTCTGTTTCAGAAGAGAGGAATGAAAAACTGACCTATCATCTACTAGTTAGATGGTTGTGCTCTTGCCAGAAAATGGCACAAATGAAACAGATATCATTGTAACATTAGTAAGGAAGTGCAATAGTTATTCTATGGTATAAGATTCCCTATTCCAGAAATCTAACCCAAAATTGTTGAAGAAGACAGCGAAAGAGTGGTAATAGCAGAGCAGTGTCATCTCTTGTGGGAAACGTCAGCATGTTATAGAGTACCCAGGGAACAACCTCAGACTATCTGAGGAATAATAGAGCTGAAGAGAGATTTTCTGCAGTTGATCTAGGCTCACCCTTTCTTCAAAAGTCTTAGATGTATCCTATTTTAATTTTATGCTATAGAGACACTTGAAATATATTAATATTTATCTCTACTCTGAATACCTAAATATTAAGCATGATTTTTTTTTTTTTTGCACAGTGCTTTCTTGTATGTGTTAGCATTTATGACTATAGTAATAAATACCTACAACAGATCCTTTTTTCTTAAAGTTAAGTTCTTACCCAGGATATTTTGATATGTTAGGAATGGCATTTAGAATTTGGTTTGAAATATCACTGAACAAGTTTGGCAACTCACATTGATTTATCTCTGTTTAAAAATAAAAGTTGAAGGTAGCTTTAACAAGGGAGGAAGAACATTATCATAATATCTTTGAGATTAATTTATATATATTTGTGATCCAGTAAATAACATGGTCCACACTTCGTCAAGATGATTTGTAAATTCTTTTTTTAAAAACAAGGTGGGACTGAATTTCCCTAAACTTGGCACTATATTAGAGGAGCAGTCTGGGGAGTTAATTGCTTAACTTACCTTTTTAATCATTAAGTAAATAGAAGTCAGTACACTATTAATAATTTTGGTGAAATTATTCTACCTCTGTGTCTTTTATGATAGAAATAGAGACAATTCTTATTTGCCTAAATGAAGATACAGCTCTGCAGCTTTTACTTGTAGGTAGTAGAATTAAAACAAAGGTGGATTTTGAAGATGTGACTTGCGTATGCCAGGTATCATTGTGGAACAGTGTACACCAAAATGCTAACTTGCTCTGGTTTTCAGTTTCTTGCTAGCACAAGGATGATGTTAATTTCTGTTTGTTTTCTTTTCTTTTTGACAGAACAAAGCACCTCTGGTAAATGAAAGCTTGAAAACTTTTTTAGGTACAAAAGATGGTAAGTTCTTTATACTTCTCAAAGGATTCTAAGTATTAAGCAAAGGATTAAATCTTTGAGTGTTTCATTAACAGTACAGTTTTCATGACATAAAGAATGCTTATGTTCCTGTCAAATGTCATGATTACTATTCATTCCGAATAGAATTCAATCTATAATTTCTGGAGTTAATATTGCTGAACTTGTCACTTGAGGTGACTAATGCACTTTAATACTTCATGATGAGTTATGATTATGCTTACTTGGGGCTGTTCTGGACCTATGGAAACAGTAACCAGTGAAAACCACTACAGAGGTACAGTAGTAAATGCACACATAGCAGAAATGTTAAAATAATGTCTTTGAATCAGATGATTAGTTTAAAAAAATAATCTTGCACCTGACTTTTCTAAGCAGTCATTATTTATGCTCCTGCAGTATTGCTGAAATAAATAACTGATGGCTGAGTTACAGATTATGGAGTTGGTATGCAAATTAGCTGTGTGGTGGTAGTTTGCTGAACGTCTAAATGATACTTGTAGGAGTGTTGAATCAGTATACTTCAACACTGAAGCCATGTTAATGTTAAATCTTTGAAGCAAGAATTGTTTCTGTCTGGTGTGTCTTTACTCTTATTTCTTTTTTAGGTCGTTTGGTAGCAGGTCTTGTTGCGGAATTTCTACATTTCTTCAATCTTGATTTTACATTGGCTGTTTTCCAGCCTGAATCAAGCACAGTAAGATATACTGGTTTTATTTGTATGCTATGCTGATTGTTTGGGGTGTGTGGCAATGAATACAGAAGCTATAGTAGATTTGTTAAAGCCACTTGCTTGTGTTTATTCTAAATATTTTTTCATATTTAATCTGTAAAAGGTACTTATTGCCAAAGGCATGCATTCCCGGAATGTGTGTTAATATGAGGGAGTATTCCCTTTATCAAAAATCAGTGCTTGATATGTTAATTTTTAATTAATGAATTACTGCTATATGATTTCACAAAAAGTATTATAGACAACACAATACTTTTGCAACAGTTTTTTGCCAATAGTTTTGCTATGTTGTGATACTAAGTATTGTTAGATGAAAATTAGGTAAGAAATCTACTCTCAGATGTTTCAGTGAAACAAAGGGCTTTGTGCAGATGTATGTGACAGTGATTGAATAGTTCAGTTGGAAGGGGTAGTGTGGCCCAATTGATTGCTTTTAGGCTTTTGAGCTAGAGGTTTTATATCATATTTGTCCCTCTGTCTCTTATTTGTAAATGTTTTAATAATAAATTTGGGTTTGAAACTTTTTCATTTAACTGAAAAATTTTTCTTTACACCTCGTACTAATTTTTATTCTTAATGTCAGCTTAAATTGATCAGAGGTTAATTTATTAAAAACCCAAGTCCTTTGCCTTCCAATCCATTGCCTTCTCTTTCTCAGCAGTTCATGCTTCTTTTTAGGGGCTTAATCGAAGAAAATCCCATGCACGCTTGTTCATTGTCAGACATACTTAGCTGCATTTATTGCACAAGGACACAACATCTACAAAGATTCATGTTCATGCTAGCAAACAGAAACAGTCATGCTTCTGTCACTCTTAGGAGCAGTGCTCCATGTGCACTGTAAAGGTAACTCATGCTCATTGAAACACCCCCTTCCTTTTTCCAGTAAAAACATCTTTTTCACCTGATGCAGTACATATATGAAACTTAGCCAAAGTTAAGCAAGGTGTACAAGAATGCTGTGCATATTGCTGAAAGATTTTCCTTTGTCCTCTGCCGCATCTTATTTCTGAGAAGTCTGTTGTGTTGTCTCTCTGTCCTCAATTTTGACTCATGATGGCTTGCTTCAGTATTTGCTTGACCAGGATTTTGACAGAAAGCATCACTAAGTAATCATTAAGAGTTCAAGAGGAACTGGTGCCCCTTGCAGTATTGCCATTCTGAGGTCACGCCAACCACCCTGGATGTGCTGCAGCATTAACATGAATTTCAGTTTTAAGAAGTGTTTTGTGGTTGTTTTTTCTATCTTTTTTTCTTTGGCTGGTAATGAATTACTTTCATTGCTGCTTCTGCCCAAACCCATGTTTTTTTAAAATGAAACAGAGACTGAAAGTAAGGGTTGACCTATGCTGGTGCACTTCTGTATGCACAGGAATGGAGGCTCTCCGTCATCTATGAATTTACTGGAACAAATGGCTAGGTGTCCAAAGATCCACTTTTAAATGCAGTAGGCTAAACTTGACCGTGTAAATCCTGAAGCGTGATAACGATGAAAACTTCCATGTTTAAAACAACTTTAGATGGTCTGTGATAAGTTCAGGTATAGATCAGAAATAAACGATGCAAAAGGCTATCATTAATATACATGCAACAGGAGGTCTTATTCACTGTTCAGTCAAAATATTGCTGTGTTAAATAAGATCGAAAAGCTTTAGGAGCTATATTACAATATACGTGTAGTGTTTTCTGACAGTTATTTCAGTGCTGTGATTTTTGTTTTCCCCCAGCTAAATGGCCTTGATGGTCGTGAAAACTTAGCTCGAGATTTGGGAATTACAGAAGAAGGAGGTACTGTAGGTGGTCCCCTGTTATTGGAGGTTGTTCGAAAATGTCAGAAGAATATTTCAGGCAATGGAGAAGTAAGTAGTGTTAACATGTAATTTCTTTCTTCATAATTCTTTATTTTCATTTCAGTGATGAAAAGTAAAAAATACTTAACTGTTGCTGTAGTATGTGTTTCCAGTCTTTATTAAATTATGCCTTCAACATAACTTACAGGAAAAAATGCTGAAAAATGTGATTGACTATTCTGTTATTTTTAATGCCACCCTCATACTCTTGACTAATATTCTGCTACAACATAGTAACACAGAGTGAACCCAGATAAATGACACTAAACTATTGCTTGTTTTCATATTTTTAGTGTGATTTGATAACACTTTAAGCTGTATGTATTTTCTTTGGCATACTTCTAATTTTAATATGACCTGAAAGCCCTAGAATTGGTTCTGTTAAAAATCTTTAAAGCTGTTCTGAAAACTAAATATATGAAACTATTAAACTACCTGAAAGCAATGACAGTAATATTTTAATGGAATATATAATTAAGTTGTAAATTAAATGAAATCCAACCAGTTGCATTTGATTAGTCTCTGTCATGATTGTGGCTTGAAAGAAAATTCTCTGCACCCAAGATTCAGTACCCCAATGAAAGCTTAAATTTAGTAGTTGTCACAGACTTCCTAACACAGCATCATGGTGTCACAGTTTGTGTGCTGTGTGAGTGAGGATGGTAGCATTGTTTCTTGTTAGGTAGTATTATGGCAAAATTCAGTATGTTTTTAAGAAGTGTTTATCTGAAACTTCTTAGGTGGCTCCAGTTCTAAGTGATAGCCTGTGCCCCACATCAAAATCATCTGATGGAAGGTCGAGTACACACCCAGTACCAAGTAAGGTAAGATTTTTAATGTATAATGAAAAAGCTACATAATATACATGAGAAGTAGAAGAGAAAACTCCTATGAAACTGCAGATACAGTGGCATTCACTTAAATGATCTTCAAAGTCCTGTGACTTTCTGATTGGTTAGGTGACAGTATATACGCTTTATATATATACAGAGTATGTATCTGTGAGGCACAGGTTGGAGGTAACTTGTCTGTTTATCAGGCAGCTGGCTGATTGCTGCTTGGGAGTGATAAGGTATTGGGATACAGCTGTCTTTGTGTTGGGTCCTGTGGCTTTGTTTTCCTCTGTTGATTCGTGTTAGCACAAGATCTGTTGTTAACTAACATCTTCCAGATCTCTAATGCACCATTACATTTGACTGGAACTGACCAGCAGGTTGAGAATTACGGGAAAGTGTAGGCCACACTTAAGCATCTCTTCCACAGAAACCAGCTGCCCCCCACACTGAGTTAAAAAAAAGAAGGGGGGGGGGGAGGGCAACAAAACATCAACAACAAAACCCCTCCACAAACAACAACAATCCCCTGAAAAACAACTAAGCACACCAAACCTGATTTAAGTAGTAAATTTTGTTCAAGTTAATGGTGTGATCTGATCACATAAAAAGTTGTAATAGCTTTTTTCCAGAATTACTGGAAGGAACTTGGAAGCTTTCCAAGTCACTACTGAAAACTGAGAAATATAACATTGCATGGATTTTGTTGTTAGTTTATTAATATGTGAAAGGGAGTGATAAGGACAAGAGAAAATGAAACTGCAGCTCAGTCTGGATCTGCTTCATTTTATTCCAGTTCTTTAGTTTTTTGCCATGCAAAACTATACAATTTGAAAAGCAAGGTTCATTTCAAGGTAAAGTTACTTAATTGCTGTGCTTGTTGATAGTATCTTAAAAACTAATAGGTCAGTCTGTGTAACTGACCTTTGAATGGAAATCTTAATAATTTCAGACCTGCTTCAGAAGATACTTCTTGCTTGGCACCACTAAAAAGATCTGAATGCTGCTAATAATAATGTTGCTTTATACATGAGCCCTGCTTTTGTCTTAGGGTGTTTCTGGATTAGCTGAGAACTACTAAAAATGAGTTGGAAGTAGTAAATATTCCACCATCCCTTATATATACCACCTTTCATGTTCATACTTGTTTTGACATAAGTAGGTCAGAATGAGAAGAGCTAAGTGTTTGTTACATGGCTTTTCCTCAGGAAAAGAATATTTGTTTAGAGGAGGAAAAACGTTTTTCCAGTAGCCTGGAAAGCTGAGGCTCTTGTGCCTGACCAGTCTGTCAATGTCATGTTATAGGAGCCCTTCACCAAATATTCCTACTGGTTCGGAGGGCAATTTGACTGACTTGTTCAGGGAAACACACCAGCAGCATAAGGGGAACCCCTGAGTGAGTTTCCACACTTTATCCACTGCTGTTACTCACTGCTGGTGACTGCTAGAGCTCACGAGTGTTAACACTAACAGTTTATGGAATAGCACTCTTTATTAATATAAAATTGTAACAATTAAGGTTCAGACATTGGTGGTGGTAAGGACTGTCTGCAAAAACAAGCTTGAAACTATATACAATCAGACTATAATCACTAATAATAGCTAGTATGAGTTAGTTACTGAGCATGCATAATGAAATTCTTATCCAGTAAGTGTCCCTAACGGGGAGAAGAGGTTCAGCCCATCAACTGATCCCAGTAGTTATGTTGGAGTCTTCCCCACTTTCCTTTCCTAATTTCACATATTTATACAGTTTGTTTCAGGTTAATAACTCCCCATAATCTTCCCACCAATGTACAGAGTGGTCAGTTAATATCTATGAGGTTACATCCTTTACATTGAAAGGACATCCTAGTCATGTTTTACTGATATGTGAAGCTGTATGTTGACGATGTCCATGTGCTGTATGTACCAGGCTTCAAGGATAGTCTTTCCTGATAAGAGATTTGTTAGCTCTGTTTCTTAATTTGCCTACACAAGGGCAAGCCTTCTTCTGCTGTTGGTTCTTTGTCAGTGTTGTTCACCATGATGTTGTAGAAGGCCCTTGTACCTGTTCATGTTTTTCCACAGTAACACAGGTTTCAAGTTTTTAACTCTATGCCTATGGAGCTTCAGTGACTCTGGTCATATATACTATGTTACTGATGAGTGTAAAAGCCTCTCACTTTGCTTTTAAAAGTACAAATATAGTTTCCTTGTTTGGCAGCCACTGTGTGGTTTATCAGTACATGGTGCCTTCAGGTTCCCGCTCCTGCAAGGAGTATAACAGAGCCTGGCTCTGGGGCCTTCACTCAGCTCCACCTTCCATTCAGTTTCTCTTGGCATATGCCAAGGTTGCAGGGTTGCCTAGGGAGCTATCACTGGGTAGATTCCATGCATGCCAACTGTATCCCATCCTCCAAGTAGCAGCTGCGTTTTACCCTAAGGTTTCCTTAGTGTTACAACTTTGGAGGACTGTGGGGAGGTGGTCTCTAATTTCCCACACTTTCTCACACTGATGTGATGAGGTTGTAGGTAGAATATAATTTCCAACAAGTTGGAATTTATGATCCAGATTTTTATATTCTTTATACACGTCCTCTGTGGCAAGCAAATCATAATTCCGTTGCAGTAGGATATAGATGAACAGGTTCTGGAAATGCTTTTCATACTATATTGCTGAATCCTTCATGAAAATAGGTTTATCTCAGAAACAGGAGAAAATTGTTTTCTCTATGGATGTGTCCTCATAGAAAGAGCAACAGCTGTTGGTTGAACTACACACTCCTCTAAATAGTGGATATCTTAATAGGACTAAAGTTCTTGGATACATTTTTTCCCATCTCTCTCTCCTTGGCAAAGGCAGGGTGGGAAAATATTCTGCCTGTGCAACATACTTGTAGTAGAAATAATGCAGAAGGAGGAGATTTTAGCCAGTCTCAGCTGCAGCAAGATGGAAGTTAACCTGTGCAGTTTAGACTTCCTGATTGAAACAAGGTTTTCTGGTGGTTTTTCAGCAAATCTGTGAGCTGAACTGGCTCTGACTGTGACTTGGCAACAAATGCGTGTACTGTAGAAGGGAGTGTGCTAGGAGAGACCAAGACCACAGCTCTTGGCAGCAGCAAAGAATTACGTTTAAGTGCAAGTGTGAAACCACATTCTGACTTATCTTATTAACACCATTAGTCTGAAACCCAAGGTAAGCATGTTGCTCTTTGAACCTTAAGCCATGGTTAACCTATCACTTCAATTTGAAAGCAGTTATTTAACTTTAGCAGAAATTTACAATATATGAATTCAAAGCAAATGCCAATTGCAGGTAAATTTAAATATTGTTCTTCGGGCCACAAAGATGCAACTTGAGCTGTATTACTTGATCTTAAGAGTTAGCATACGGAACAGTTCTCACATGCTTCAATATATGTAGGATGGAGCCGTAGGCATGATACAAAGACTGAATGTTATGTACTTTCAAAGTATCCAGCTTGTGTCATTTTTGGTTTTGGTATTTGGAGGGAGAAAGTGTTATTAACTGCAGTTGTCTTATGCTTGCTGCTTTAAAACTAATATAATATTGCATTTAATACGGAAGTTGGAGGAATTTGCATGGGTTTATATAGGTTTTGGTTTTTTTTAAGGTAGTGGCTGTAACTAACAACAGCTGTTTATAGATGAATTTCAAAATAGCACTAATGAAGTATCATGTAACTTTCAGGCTGTAGAACAAACTCCCCTATATTCAAATCAGTCTGTAGATTTCTTTTTTTTATTTGATGACCAACTTTTTTCAAAATTAGCTGCTTTTGTATTAGAGGTGATCTGGGTAGCAAAGCCATTTCAGCGGATGGAACAGAAATTTTTAATGGCAGCAACAATAAAGAATACTTCCTTTCTGAAGCGGTAAAACTTTTTTCTCTTGTGTGATTCCTGATGATACTAATAAATTCCTGAGCACTAATAAATTTGAGCTAACATTTTAAAAAGTGATTTACAGTGTATGTTTATATTAACACAGTATTATAAGACATAAATACTTCTTTCATTCTTTATCTTTCAAGGCTGCTGAAACCACTCAAAATGATACAAGCGATTCATCAGGGGAAGGAAGCAAAAGAAGCATTCATTTTCTGCCTAATGAAACAAATCCAGATCCTCAACTAGAAAACAAAGACTTGAATACCAAAGAAAAAAGTGATCCAGGTGTGGATGACGATGATGTAGAGGGAGATTCTTTTTTTGATGATCCTATACCCAAACCAGAAAGAACTTATGGCTGGTAGGTTACATGCAAGTTTTACTTCATACAGGCTTATTTTTGTCCTCGGTATTCTTGCAGACCTTTGAGACTTATCTGGTGTTTGATTATTCACACTTGTGAATGTGAGTGTTTAGATGTGTTCTGTAACATTTTGTTTCTGAGATGTGCATTTCTATGATTCTGTTCTTTGAAATGCAGTGTAATCTCGGATCTCTTGGATGTACAGAAGCAGGAAAAACCTGTATCACTTTAAGGTACATTATGTAAACTGTATAATGTCCCCAGCCTATTTTTTTGGTGCAATGAACATCTGAGACATCAGTGCTTCTTCTTGCAGCAGAGCTTCAGTGGTGATCAGTACTAAAGGGGTAGTGCTTTAGATACCTCTATTGAGAAATGCTGCAAGGTCATTTAATGGTGTTCTTTTGCTGTCTCAGTAATTGGAGAATTGCTCTAGTTTAGCAGAAGTTACCAGAAGAGGTTGCAGAAGCATTTTCAAGTCTGACAGTAGCTCCCCTCGTGTTGGCTTTTTTCCCCCAACTGTTGGCAGAACAGCATAAACTTTTTGTATTATCACTGCAGTAAATGCTTACTCTTGGAATTGCATCATTCTGGTACAGCACAAAGCATTCATGCCATGTAAACTTGGTCTCTTTCTATGAAACTCTATTAGAGAGATTATTAATGATACAGCTTTCATTGGATGTAAATATTTGGAACAGATTTATTTTTTTTTCCTCGAAGAGCAGTGTTTTTTTTCTGTGGAAAACATTGTGTGTTACAAATAACTCTACTATGGTATTTCTTTTCCCTTTTTCTTTGTGGAAGTATCAAGATTAAAACTGCATCTGAATGCGTTTACTCTTCCTTTTCATGAGCAAATTTTTAACTAGCCTTTAACCAAATTCTAACGCTCCTAGCGGGAGATGGTATTGCCGAAAAACAGGTTTAAATTGTATGTTGGGAAAACTAGAAAAGGCTGGAAAAAGTTCTGAATAATAATGATGTTTACTAATTTCTTATTGTTTGAGCATTTTCTCATGAGAGGGTAGGAAATTCACTTTCAAATTAGGTAAACAGTCTTGCTTTAAAACGACCATCCAAGAAAAAGATTCTTAATTATTCAGTAAAATAAGCTTTTTTGTTGTGGTTTTTTTTTTTTTTGTGGGTTTTGTTTTCTTTTTTTCTGGAACAGAAACGTCCTACAGAAAAACTGATTTCCAAATTAAACCTGTAGTAGAGTCACAGTCAAGTGACTTGAACGTCATCACATTTTTGGAATGTAGTTGTTATAGTAAGGTTTGCTGAATATTTTAATGAGGTAGCAACTAGTTGTGGCTGAGCTGTCTCTGCTGGGTCTTTTGCTTCTGCCCTTTTGATAGCTCCTCTAGAGGAGAAAAAAAGAACATACTCTTCAGGTGTTATTTTGTAGTATGTTGTGCTGGTGTGCCCAAGTCCCAAGGGATGAGTAAATGGGAGAGGCACCAGCATTGTTTAGTGTGCAAATAGGTAAATTCCTTATGGGATCTTTGCCCATTCCCGTAAGAAAGGTGCATTAGAGAGGAAGGGAGCAAGCAGTTACTAACAGCAGAACAAGAGATGATCCAAGCTTTCATTGCCCTTAGGCCTCTGACCCATTATTCAAAATTTGGAGGTGTTTACATATGTGATGATATACATGATATTTTGGTGATATAAAATTTTACCCATTACTAGTAGGATTGGGATCACAGTAACAAACAGTTCTGGTGATACTAAATGTGGAAGTCTTGATCTCTTTTAAATAATGTTTCTTCATCCTTCACTTGCAATTAAAGGACTCGAGTTCAACACTCTAAAATATGTGAATGAAATATGTAGTAGCCGAGTGAGCTTTAACATGTGATGATGGGATCTATCTTGCTGCAACTGAGAGATTTTCATTCTGTGAACTGACTGCTCTTAGGGTTAATAGTTTTGTTGGACTTTAGTTCTAAACCAAACTAACTTTAATATTAATTTATATCTGAATCTTTTGATTCTTTTGACTGCATTTACATATGGGGATAATGAAGGGCCCCTTGATAAAAGTAGTGATTCTGATGAAGGTGCAGGATCTCTGTCTGTGAAAGAAGGCAGACAGAAGTCTTTGCGTAGGTGATAGGTGAACATCTTGCTTGATACTTGTGCCAGTGAACTGCTTATTGTTTCTAGGTTTGTAGAATAAATAGTTCTTTCCCCTTGCTCTTTTTGCTGTAAATGTTCTTGTCCTAGTTTTATGGCAGTTTAGTAAATATAGAAGGGAAGGTAATTTTGTGCATCTTGCAGCTCTGTGGAGTACTTATTTATTTGGTTTGTTCTAGGAAAACTGAAGCTAATAAAGCAGGAGGTCTAGCATCCCTTTCTGATGCACCGCCTTTAAAAAGTGGGTTAAGCTCCCTGACTGGTGCACCTTTGCTAAAGGAGTCTGATAGTAAGTTTTCACTTGTTTTGTGTTTTGTTGACTATAAGAGAGATCCTCCACAATGTAATGAATGCAAAGTGGATTGCGTATGTGGCCCCCTTCTAGTTATAACATGTTTTTTTCACAGAGTGATCACATACTCATTTTGATGTATTATTGGGATGATTATGTTTTGAAGCATGAAATTCTCATCTACATGTGTGGTTTTTGTGTATAAAAAGCAATTTTCAGGATTATAAAATTCTATTGCTCAGTTTTTTAACTGAAATTAACTTACTCCTTACTATTGTTATCATACATTATTTGTATAAGTTCTTTAAGAATATTTGCCTTTATGTTGTAAAACCTGGTCCTGAATACTGGGCGATTGTCCCTGTTTACTACTGACATTTTTAAATGTTAGTGGAGTTCAGACCTGAAAAGTGGATATGACTATACAATACTATAAAATTATATAGGGTTAGTATAAAAGAGTACTACTGAAATGGCTGATGTGTATTATGGGTATTGCTTAAGTGTGATCTTATTAAAAAGTCAACGTCAAATTTCTGATAGAAATGTTTTTGTTTTGTCACAGATTTGCATAGAAACACTGTTTTGAAAGACCTGAGGCTGGTGAATGCAAAACTGGGATCACTTGAATTAGGTACGTAACTGCTTTGAGGAAGCTCTGATGTTTTTACCTGTAAGCTCTGTCCTGGCTTCTTAGAGGAGTCTGAGAAACTGAAATAAATAGTGAAAGAAGTAAAAGCTTTTAATGAAGATTTTAGTTCAGTATATTTAACACCACTGTAAAACTTTCTGGAGTTAAGAGCAAGATCTGATCCAAAGGAATACAGAAAAGTGAGAACTGCTGTCTTGTATGTGGATTAGTATTTTACACATGCAGCAAAAACTTGATTCATTCTATGCATGTTTGCTAATATCAAGTGCTAAATTCTGTTGTCTAGGTTTCTAAGAAAAGAGGAGATTTATATTTGTGGAAAAAAAAATTAGCCAGACAAGTCTTAACTATTTTTCAGTGGCATATTTCCTTGCCCTTCACACCTTTTGAAAGCTGCCTTGTAAGCTCTAGGAGCAATATGAAGAAGATGTGATGTAAGAACTATCGGCTCTATCATAAAATAGAGCTGCCACATATTTAGATTTCATCTTCAGTGATGTAGACAACATCCTGAAAATGTATGTTCAATTTCAAAGCAGTTTGTGTAAATGAGGTTGAGATTTATTAATTCCAAACAAAGTCGTCTTCTTTTCCTAATCTGCACAAGTAATGTAGTCTACTCACACTTTTGCTGGCTGTTAAAGCATGCATTTTGGTGCAGGAATATATTCTTTTGCATTTCTTAAATGGTTTGATTGACACCTTTTTAAAAATTACTTAGGAAATGGAGATGATGACGAGTATGCTGATGACTTCAACAGGTAAGAGAAGGATGATACTGCAGTACCATAATAGTTCATGCATTATAAGAATATCCACTAACATATTTTAATTATTCCATAATATTTAGCTACTCACTATTGCTGGAATCTGTCAGTATCTCTGAACTGCTTTAAACTTGGTTGTTATTTTAATATATGTAGTTACAAATTAAAAAAACTCAAACAAACAACCCCCATAACCAACAGGTCCTTTTTGTGCAGGGAGTAGTAAGTTCCTTAAAAACCTGGTGCTAACTTTAAGACATTAAGTTGTTGCTTTTTTTGAAGGTGTTTGGTTGTTGTTTTTTTTTCTGAACCATGCACTTAATGTTTTAAAACTTTAATTAATGCTATTAGATAGTAAGTACAGTGTATGCTGAAATACTCAATTAAAAATAAAGCGTCGTGAGTAGTCAGTAATGAATATTTAACAGCTTCATGATGTGAAGGTATTGTTGTAAGCCATAGGGGTATTTATCAGTATCTTACATGGCTGCAGCTAGATATAAAGCCTTTAGTTAAGGGGTTTTAAATAACTTCATATTTAACTTGCTAGGAAATGAAATCCCAATCAAATGTGAGGTATGAAGTGAAAGTGAATGTAATACCTGGATGTTTGAAAAGAAAGTCTTACATCTACATTTATGATTTTCTTTCTCTTTAGTACTAGTCATCGCTCAGAAAAAAGTGATATCAGTATTGGTGAAGAAATAGATGAAATTTCTGTGGGAACAGAAGAGTCAATTGCCAGTGATAAAGTATGATTCTTTTAGAATTATTATTCTCGACATTCTTCTTGTCTTGACTTTTTTTCTTTTAACCTTCCATGAACAAATGTGCCATTATCATAGGCTCCTTGTATACATGTTTAGACTGTATTACTTGTTCTGTGTTTTTACACCTAGTATTCCTGCAGAGTTAGATACAATGCAGACTAAAAAAACAAACCAAAGATCTCACAGCAGTTGTTCAGTAGCACAATTCACTGTCTGTTTCTAGGCATCTGAAATATATTTGAGACTGATTTAATGTTCCCCATAGGAATGTCTTACCTATATCTCAAGAGCACCTCCTAAAGGAGTATGAAATCTCACTGAAAAGGCTTGAGACCAAAAGGATGGGATGATACATGGACTACAAGAAGTAATGCTTACTGTTTCCATGATTTCTGATTTAATTTTTTTTTTTTACTTCCATTTATTTCCTAGCTTGAAGGCATCACGCAAGACCTTACTATTTCTCAGTTGAGTGACGTGGCAGATTATCTAGAAGATGTGGCATAGAATTGGACAGCAAAAATGTTTCATTGTGCTGGAATAGAAGACTGCTGTGGACTGTTAATTTCAGACAATCACTTCTTGCTGGAACGTCCACTCTATTTGTGCCTTGTATTTCAAAGAGACTGTACATGGAGAAGGCTTTTAAATATTCTTAACATGGACTAAATGGATATTGTGTTCCCATCTGAGTCTGATACTTTCTTCATTTGGTTCAGCCAGACCTTTTACAGCAGGAGGTGGATTTTCCACACAGAATGTCCATTGCTGGCAGTGGGCATAATAAAAAACAACTGACAAGAGAACAGTGACAGAGAAGCATGTGGCTTTATAACAGACTTGCACTGTTATTGTAACAGTCTGAATTATTTTTTTTAAAGGTAACCAAAGCAAGAACCTTCAGAGGCAGTGGTTCAACTCGCACTTCTTTTAACCCAATTTTCCCGAGTCAGTATGTAATACATATTTATGGTAACTAGCCACAACACCCAGTTGCTCGAGACTTACTTGAAACTGCTGGTTTTCAGACTCTTCTGAAAGATGGACTTTTTTAGGCGCATCAAATTGAGAGTACTTAAACTCTTAAGTCCAAATTTAGGTAAATTTAAGAGCTAAGTTTAGCACTAGTGTTAACTGACTATTCTTGTTTAAATGTTTTTCAGACCATTGGTGTTGAAGACCTAAGCTGTTTTTATACATGATAATTTCATTGATGTTACCTGTTGTTAAATCACAAGAAGTAATTTTGTAAAGATCCGCAAATCATTAACTAAATCTTAGTGGTTTAAGTTTTTAGCAATGTAATGGTTTTTGGAGCTTTTATTGCTGAGGGCTCTTCATGTGCTGTAAGCTTACTTTCATTCTTGAAAATCCTTATTGTGTAAAAATGAGCGCCAGAAAGTGAAACCACTAACCTTGTTTTTTGGATTGACTGCTGTACAGAATTGCATCCAAATATTGAAAAATACCTTGCAGAAGACATTACAGACACTAAGTTCTAGCTAGGAGCAAATTCTTGTACTTGCATTATACTTTTGCAAAACAGGGTCAGTAGTGGAAACATTGATGGTTTTTTAACAATACTGTTGTACATGGCGCTGCTATAACATAAAGGTCATTGACGTTTGTAATACTGAAACAAGACTTCAAAATGTGTGCTTTCTGAACATTGTGAACACATTTAGAAAATATACATGTAAGTGAATAAAAATAATTTTGGGGGGGTTTTTAGGCTTTGTAATATTCTCTTTTTTTTTTTTTTTCTTTTGCAGGAACAGTGTTGGCTGCTTATCAGTGGTCGCCACAGTGGAAGTAGCATGCTAAACTAAAGCCATTGGTTAAGATATAGAGCTGCTACTAGCATTGGATGCTGACTTAAATCTTTGTTTGCACTGGGCCAGCAGGCATGGAACAGTGCTGGGAAGTTAGGCTTGTACAGTACATATATGATCTGAGAGGAGAGAGGAAAGGCGTGCCTTTTATTTATGTGCACCCCAAAACAGCCAGCAAAAAGCATCAGAATATTTAGTCATGGTGTTAACTTCTAACTTTGTGCCATATTGTAGCAGCTGAACACAGATTTGATTTTATTTTTTTTCCACCCCAAAAAATCAGTGTGCCATAGACTTCAAATAGCAACAATGTTGTAACATGCATCCTGTGGGGGGAAAAAAAATCCCTTTAAGTATGGGGGAACCTGTGCCTCAAGATACTATATATGAAAAGTTTGTTTGGAGTTTTTTTTTGTGTTTTGGAGAAATGCAACAGCATGAATGAAGGAAATAAAATTCCATTTGAACACCTGGGAACAATTGATTTCTGATTTTATTTTTTTTTTAAGGTGTGTGGAATAAAGTAGAGGCAGTGTTTTTTTTCTGTGTCTTGGGATAACATGATGTTCCATTGCCTGTTAGCTGTAGGATATGGGGCAATTTATCATACCAAAAGAAGCAAAATGATTTCTAATTGGATTTGAAGATGTGGAACATGACTCTTGTTAATGGCAAGTTGGTGTTGTCTTACCTTGGGGGTCAATTTTGGCTGTAATTTAAGGAAATGCCAAACAGTATGAAGTGTCCATGCTCTTCTTCCTGTGGGCTTTTACAGAATTGTGTGTAATAACTCAAATTGCAAAATAAAGCTGTTATGCTGGTTAAATTGTATTTTTGAGTCTTCCTGAACCAAAGATCTTAACCGTAGGAAATTGAGGAAGCCCTGTGTGTTTTGGGGGGTTTTCTTGAAATATGGCTCTTTTTTCAGGGTTAGTTTGGTCTACAGTTGAGTGTGCTCAGGTTTCTTCTAAGTCTAAAGCATCTTGCAATTCCTGATGATAAATCCTGAAGTCTGATAAAGACCAGACTGAATAGGATTACTGGGTGTCAGTCTGAGTTATCAAATGGTTTATGATTCAACAGACAAAGGGAAGAAATAATCCAATCTTGATTTGCAGTATTTTGTGTTGTTTACAATTGTTAGTCTGAGTTACTTAAACATGTCTGGCAAGCTAAGCTCTCTTGCTTGCTTGTGTTGTTCTACATTTCAAACCACATTGGTATTTTACATTAGGCTTCTCCCTGAAGGACCTAATGCAGTTAAATACCTGACATCATTTGTATGAACCCTATTATAAAAAATGGGAATTTTTCTGTAGCTGTTCTTCTGTACTGCTTCTGCCTTTTTGCAGACATCTCTGTGAACAGAGAAGGAAGTGTCTGAGAGGGCCACTTAGGACTGGTTTGTGCAGTTCTCTACTGGTTAGGTCTGGTTAGAAGCATGCTTTTGCTAAATACTCTTTGAAATTCAGTTAACAAATCCTGTGGTTTCCAGAAGTAAAAAGTTCAGGACTAACGTATGGCTGACAGTTCCTTATTAACACGGTAATGAGAGTGGATTATGAAAACATACCTGTCTTAATTTTTGTAGTGAAGTTACTGTATTCCACCTGTCTTTTTTTCCTTTTTTTTTCTTTAAGCAAAGTGAGAAACCATGTACATCTGATAAAATTTCCTCATAAGTGATATATTCATCAGCTGTAATTAAAGCATTCTCGGCTTCAGACTAGTTTGATAATTTAGTCCTTATTTACACAATATATCTAACTCTTGAGGCAACTTATATGCCAGTGTAAGTGATAAGGTGGTTGAGTGATGATAATAAAGAAGGGGGGCTACTACTTCATTTGCTTTTTTAGCATTGTAATTTTCACTGATGAAATATTTTCTACAAAGCTAGCCTTCTTTTCTGGAAAGAGAATGCATCTGTGGAGAGTTCAGTTGCAGCTAAAAGCTAACAAACTTCTGTTTTCTTTAGCACTGTCTGCGCAGCAGCCAAGATGACTGCTTCATGTTCATTTCAGGAATGAATGCCAGATGCATTGGTTTTGATAGGTCTTTTTGGTTTGGTGTTTTCATTATCAGGTAGAGCCAAAAGAGAAGTTGAACTGAATTGCAGGAGTTGTGGGTTTGGTAGATTTCTAAGTGATCTCATTCATCTTGAAGCTACCTCTACAGGCAATCTATAATTAATTCAGCACTGCGAAAATAAAACTTGCAAGATAAGACTGACTGTCTTGGATTTCTACCAAAAAGAAGGAATTGGGCTCTTCAAGGTCACTGAGATACCCGAAGATTGAAACTGTCAGAAATGCAATGGGTATTAAAAGTGGCAGTTCTTTTGTTTATGTCATGAATGGTATTAAGTTCTCATTAAAGGGCGGGGGGGAGGTTAAATCCCAACAGCCCAGTAACTTCTAGCATACAGTTTCTGTTTTTGGTCTACTGGAGTGCTAACATTTGTCGCTGCTGTGATTAATTTTTGTATATATTTTTATTCTTTTAATACAGGATAATAGGAAAAATGTGTATGCAATGTGTCATTTTGGAATATGTTCATAATGTCTTAGCATCAACCACAGTTTCAAAGTTGTTGTGTAACTTTTCCCAAATCACTTATTCTTTTTAATATATTTCAGAGGGCAAAACATAAGTATATACCTTGCTGTTCCAAGAAGTGCCTGTTCTTTCTCAGGCCTCAAAATGTATCACTTTCGTTAAGTCCGTTGTACTATTTGGGGGAAAATTGTCAATAAATGAATAAGTACAGGAAAAGGATGTAAAGTCATTCTTTTGTACTAGAGCAGTCCTCAAGCATTGTCTGGATACAGTATCTGAGGAACAGTAGAGAGATCGCAGCAATGTTGAGCATATAATTAAAGGGTATTTTGGGGAATACTTGCCTTGTTCCAGGAATTGCATGTTTGCTTTCTGTGTTGAGGTTTTTGCCCTGTCACTTGACCTAGGGGAGCAGCATGCTTTGTAAGCTCCTCAAAAAGGTGTTTTAAAGCTTTGTAAGCACAGTGCAGGGAAAGAAATACAGACCTGATACTGACAAGTTGAATGAACTGCAGCTGGGAAAAAAAAAAAGCAGTGTGAGGGATTGCACACTGAGCAGGAAATCTAATGGGGACAAGGCAGGTGTGTTAGGCTCCTCTTGCCTGGTCAGTGTGTAGTGCATGAGGAAGCAGCCTACGTGAGGGGAGCCAGCCAGCATTCATAAGATGGGAGAAATGCAATTAGGATGTGAGAGATTGAGAGGGTGCCTGCTGGCTGCAGGGGGGCAGAGCAGGCTTGTGTTCATCTTTTTTAACATCTGAGGGTCACTGTTACTAGCTTGTGCAAATAGACAGGAGTTGGTGAAAGAAATTGAACAGTAATGCCATAGATGGTGTTTGAGACCAGTAGAGGACACGGTGATGAGCTGCAAGACAGTCCTTAGAGCTAGCAAGATCAACTACCCCAGCATATGGGATACCTCAACCCAGACACAACCCTGAAGAGCATGTGACTGTCTAGGTGCAGGGAGTACCTGGGGCTTCTTAGAGGTTGGGGTCACAGAAGCCTCACCTGCTGTAGCTGTGCTTTGATGGGGACACTGAGCTGCTAGGTGAAGCAGGATGGATGGCATCAGGAATGCCAACAGAAGGGCAAAGGTACTTTGTGGCCACTGTAAAAACAAGAACCCCAATCCCCCATTGCGTGGAAGAAGGGGGAGGCCAGAGGCAATGTTTAACCAGGGGAGGGCTGGAATTTCTGTGGAGGAAAAAACAAGAAAACTTTTTCTCCAGCTGCAGGTGCTTACAGAGAGATCTTTAGAGCCCTGATAGGAAGACAGGGCATGAGTTTTGGCAGGAGGTGCATCTAGCCATGCTGTCAGAGCCAGTGAGGCTGAGAGAAAGTGACAGAAAACAGTAGTCAGGAACTTCTGCAGAGGGATGAAGGCACCCCTCTGCCCATCAGA